CAGACGGATTATATAACATTTTCATGAGAAAGTACATATATTTATTGGAACACGCTGTAGCATTTCTACTACATTTTGTCACAAAACAAATTGCTTTTTTTTTCATAGAATTTTTAAAGTAAACACGGATCCTTCGTTTCTGCTTGGAGAGTGAAATAATGAGTTGGTAGGCGTAAAGTAGGTACAATTTAAATTGCAGAGTGATTTCTATGGAATACAAGGTATTTTACTTATTTACTCTATCAGTTTTATAAGCAACTTATTCTTAATGAACAGCATGAAGAGATTGGCTTATCAATTTTAATATTAAGCTGCAAAGCTACTACAATTTGTTAATATTCCAATCGGGTTAGAACTTCTTGTTAGTGAAAAGTTGAGTGAGCAAATTTTATTTGAAACATTTCTAACTTCAAAGCATTGAAACCTCCCTTTTGAATGAGTAATAATGATATTTCCACAATAAAGATTCCTTGTGTAGTAAAAATTGTCCTCCTCTTCAATGGAATTTACATGGTCTTCGACAAAATATTTGCAATCCAGATATAAATTGGAATAAGAAAATTCCATATCAAAATACTCAAAAACTCAAACGATGCTTTTTTAAAAAGTTGTACAGGGTTGCTTATAGGGCAAACGTACCTTCACACCCTTTTGGCCCTCTATATGCAACCTGGCCTTCTCGCGTCAACATTCGGCGGAGCAATGTTGCCGTGCCAAACGGCCTCCTTGCTACAACCGTCAACAACTCCTGTAGATGATAATAGGTACGCCCCATTCAGCGGCTTTTTCTCCAAAGCTCAAAAAGGGGGAAAATGTTCTTTTGCTCCTTTTTTTTCGATTAACATGAAAAAAAGCGGAATCATTCAGAGCATCGGCCGACGAGTCATCATCACCACGAACCACGCCTACTGCTTACAACGAAAAGATCGTGCCGAATGACGACAAAGAAGGTTCGCTATGTTCTTTTCTTGTCGTCAAGCTCTTAGGCTGGATGGATGTGTGTATGCGTGTCGCACCGTAACCTCCACTCCGTCGTGTACAGCTTACTCATCTTTGTTTCTTTTCATCGTTTGACTGATCCGAAGCGCTAGCGAAATGTCAGAGGTCGGAATAGCGTCGAGAGCCAAACGCATGAAAGGAAAACCGCGCTAGGGGAATTTTTCAGGGAGGGGGGGGAGGGGGAGGGCGCTTAGGGGATGGAGAAAAGGAAGAAACC